AACCTGAAGATCAGTGAAACAGATTAGAAGTTACAGATATGACTACAAACACACTCAGTCACCTTATCTTTGACAAAGAGGCCAAACATGCTCAATGGAAGGAAGACAGCCTCTTTAATAAATGGTACTGGAAAAACTGGCTTTCCACATGCCGAAGACTAAAACTAGACCCATGTCTTTCACTATGCACTAAATTAAAGTCAAAATGGATCAAAGATCCAAATATTTAAAGAGAAACCCTAAATTTATTGGAAGAGAATGTAGACAAAAATCTTGAAGACATTGGGATAGGCAGAGAGTTCATGAACAAAGATCCAATTGCATGGGAAATACTTCAAAGAATCAACAACTGGGATCTCACCTTATTGAAAAGTTTTCACACATCTAAAGAAATCACCAAGAGAGTAAAAAGAAAACCCATGAATTGGGAAAAAAATGTAGCCAGCTGACCCTTAGACAAAGGACTTCATCTAGGACATATAAAGAATTATAAAAAGCAGGCCCACCAAATTCAAAGACCCAATCCAAAAATGGGCATCTGAGATGAATAAACATTTCTCAAATGAAGAAATACTAATGGCGCATAAATACATGAAAAAATGTTCAATGTCATTAGTCATTTGAGAAATGCAAATTAAAAGTACACTGAGGTTTCATTTCACCCCAGAAAGAATGGCTATCATCAAGAAATTTACCAATAACAAATGCTGGAGAGGCTGTGGGGAGAAAGGAACCCTAGTCCACTGCTGGTGGAAGTGTAGATTGGTGAAACCACTGTGGAAGTCAATTTGGAGATTCCTCACAAAACTAAGATTGGAAGTCCTATTTAACTCAGCTATTCCCCCTTCTGGGTATTTTCCAAGAATTAAAGACATCATACCACAGCGATATATGTGCACCCATGTTTATAGCAGCACAGTTTTTTTAGTTAAATCTTGGAAGCAACCCAGATGCCCATCCACTGAAGAATGGATAAAGAAAACTCTTCAACATATAATAGGAAAAACACTAAGGAAATTGTATACAAATATAGAAATGAAAGGATGAAACTTGAAGACAAAATAAAAATCATAGAACAGCCTGGGGAGGGTGGAGAAAAGCATATCACTACACAAGGAGCCATAGATGAACAGTATTTAATTCTCAACACAAACAACTGAGATTTAAAAGAAAAAACACTTTGTATACTCTAAGTACTTTAAAAATTAAAGTCAAATGAAGTTAAAGAGACAATAAGAGAATTAATTGCCAGGAGATATGTCCTCAAAATAAATGTAGCTATTCTGGCAAAAGGATACTCTTATTAGATAAAAATAATTAATTGCAAAAAAATAATGAAAAATAGTTAAAAGACAATTGTATTTAAATAAAAATTTAAATATAACTAATTTAATAAATTAAACACATTTCATGATTTGTGGCTTACAATTATGTAGGTTTAAAACAATGATTACCAATGACAAAGAATTCCAGATTTGATAAATAACTCCAATTCATTCTAAGTTAGAATTACTATATTTAAAAAATTGTCTAAAACCTATTTGCTGCCTACAAAATAAATGTTTACACTAAAGAGTTACTCTTAAACAAAACGGGCCTTTAAAAATGTAAAGCACTGTTAGACATTAAGGATACTTTATAAAGGTAAAAAGTCAATCCATGAAGAAAATATTATAATATTTTTATTTGTATCATAAAATCCAGTACCATTAGAAGCAATAAGATAATTATAGAAATCTATAACAGTGAGGTCTAGTAATGAGCTGAATAGATAATAGGATAAAAAGAATAATAAGCACATACACAGAAACTCTGAAATGCAGAATATTTTTAACTACTTACATGTGTTTTAAAAAGATAAATGTACATGACCATATAAATTACTTTTATTAAAAATGGCAATTGCACAAAATGGAAAGTATGTGATATTACATTCTCCATAAATTTTGAATATTTGAAACAATTTACATTATTGTTCTATTGCTTTAGAGCAGAGACATTACTAAATATAAAAGGTAAAAGATATACAAAAACTCAAAACTCTTTGCAATTAAGCAAAACACATCTATGTGATCAATGGGTCAAAAAAGTATGGAAAAGAGAAATTTTAATAAATTTGAATGTGATAAATTTGAATATTAAACAAATTAAAATCTGTGCAGCATTGCTAAAGAAGAGACCATGTGGAACTTCATACATAGTAAATGTATATGTATATTTAAATATATATATTAGAAAAGAAGAAATGATCTCTCATCTAAAATTACAAAATCTTTACACAATATCATGAACTAGAGAAAGCAGTGAACACAACCACAAGGGAAATAGAAATGAATGAGACAAGAATGAAAAGTGCTCTTAAAATAGTTTGACAAAAAAATTAGCAAGGACAAAAATTCCTTGTCTGAAGCCAGGCGTGGTGGCGCACACCTGTAATCCCAGCACTCGGGAGGCTGAGGCAGGAGGATCATTGCGATTTCGAGGCCAGCCTGGGCTACAAAGTGAGCTCAAGGTCAGCCTGAAGTGCATAGGGAGATCCTATCTCAAAAAGACAAAAAAAAATTCATTGTCTGAAAACATCTATAAAATTTCAGACTTTCAACAAGCTATTGTTACAGTTGATACACTGTGTCAATTTGAGAAGTTTAAAAGGTTAACTTTGTGACTCAGCAGGGGACCAAGTTTCGGACTTTGTAAACATCCTGAGCCTATGCAAGAGGAGGTCATGGATATGATGTGGGTGTAAAGGACCCACCCTATAGTGGAGAGCCTGCTTACAATATAAGGGAGGAAAAGAGGCTTGCTCTCTCCCCTTTTGCTCTTACTGCTTTTGCTGTCTTCTGCCGACTTGAACTGTTGCCCCTGTGGGATGCTACACTGTTTTGGAGCCAGCTGATTATGGACGGAAGCCTCCACAAACTGTGAGCTAAATAAACCTTTCCTTCCTTAGGTCTGGTTGTCAGATATTTTGTCTCAGCAACACAGAAAAGTAACTAAGACAACGATGAAGACAGAAAAGGGGCATTGTTCAGTTTTGCCCTTTGTTTCTCTTTTAATTATTTTATAATCTTCTAGTAGTTTAAATCTTCAATGCATTCCGACTCAATTTTTATATACAGTATGAGCTAAGAGTCTGATTTCATTCTTCTGCATGTAAACAATTTTCCCCATATTTTATTGGAAAGCCTACCCTTTCCGTTTTACCCAAATGATTTGAAATCAGTTCATTGAAGTGATAACTGTGCGTCCATGTTAATTACAGCATTTTCACAATAGCCAGCATATAGGAGCAATATAAGTGACCATCAGTTAATGTATGGGTAAAACCAATATGGTATATATACAAAGTGCAGTGCTCCAGTATCAGAAAAGAAAGAAATTCTGTCATTTTACACAACATACATGAACCCGAAGGACATGTTAAATGACATAAACAAGCACACAACAACAAATACTTCATGATTTCAATTATATGTGAAATCTAAAATAATTGAACTCATGGAAGCAGAGAGTAGAATGTTGGTTATTAAAGGATGAGAGGTGAAAGGAACATAGAGATGCTGGTCAAAATGCACAGTTGTAGATAGGAGGAAAACATGTTTCTCAAAATTATGCACAGAGTGTTGACTATAGCTAGCAATTGCATATTACTAAAAGTGATTTCAAACACTATTTTGTAATGATATATATGAAAAATCATGTGATATTTAAACTTGTGTTTTTTATTCATTTAATATTATGATCACAAGGTGCATCTATTTATCTACAAAAGACTCAAGTATATCCTTCTTTATGGCAGAGAATTATTCTATTGTAGCAAGCACATTTTCCTCATCTATTCATCAAGGCATATAAATTGTTACTTAAATATAAATAAAATACAAAACAAATAATAGGAAAAAAAAGACAAAAATTCTTGTAATCCAGAATGGAAAATGTAGCTACAAGTGTATCTTGACAGTTTTTTATGTGTTTTATATGTTTTTGGGTTATTAGTCTGTTTTTTAATTTGCATGTATGATAATTAACTTTATAAGGACTTATATAATAAATTAATTTGATTTTGGCAAAATGAAGGGAGGTAAGGGGAAGGGGAGAAAAAGAATTGAAATGTGTTATGAACATATACCAATTCCCTATAAACATAATCGGCATGTACTGCAAATATATACTAAGAAAATTTAATAAAGAAAAAGCAAGCAAAAGTATCAAAGGTGACCAATAAGGTAATTGAACTGATTAATAATTCTGCACATCAGCTTGTACCTCATGAATCTACAGAATTAGATTTTATCAATTAGCAGTAGAGAACATTTTAAAAAGTAGTATTTCAGGTTATATATGTAAAAATGTATGCATGTGTACAAATTGTGTGAAATTGAACATGATACTTATTGAACTCTTTTACATTGTTCAGATATTTATTAAAAATTCACCACTCATTAATGTCCTTTGATAAGACTTTTAATTTAAACAATACATATTTTATAGTTATTATTTTATATTGTAGATCCAGTGACTTGTGTATGTAACTGTTGCATAGTAGTTGTTAGTGTTTTTATTTTTCTTTTGAGGTAGGGTCTCGCTGTGCAGTTCAGGCTGGCCTCAAACTCACTAGGATTGTCCTGCCTCAGTCTCCCAAGTGCTGAGACTACAGGCGTGCCCACGGCTTGTTAGTGTTTTTAAAGTAGGATGGTAATTGAAACAAAATGCCTTAAATTTATAACCCCTAAAATTAATAATTTTGTTTTCTCTACATTAAAATATAATTTTCTTGTGTAAATAATACTGTATTTTGTTGTATAAGATGCTATGAGAAAATACTTGAAATTAGAGATAATGCTAAGGAAGAATGAACTAACAGTACTCAACATCAAGTTCTAATTTTAGAAATGCAGTGTTATTATTGGAAATGTAGATTTTTCCTTCATTAGCACTGAGTATGCATTTATTTCATGCCATAAATATTAACTATATCTCAATCCTACTCTATTATTTAGAGAATTTGGTAAAAAAAAGATGATTCAGTGCAGCAAAGACAAAAGTTGGGAACATGAGCATCTGAAAAACAGCACACAGAAAAGGAATCCTGTAAAGCTCACCTTGAAAGCACAGCCAAAACTTGGCAATGCGGACTCTGCATGACTTTATTATACAAGGTCTGCAGTATATACTGAATTTAAATACTGATAAATTTAATAACATTTAATGAGAAAATGGTATATGCCAGTTTATCACCTGTATCTTAGGTGATCATTGTTCACTGCTCATGCAGATCTTGCTAAAACATTCTTTCAATATTTTTAAGCTATGAATTCACTCTCAGAAAGAATAAAATTCCTTTAACTGATAATTCCATTTTGTTAATTGGGAATGTGACTTGTTGATACTACAAAAATGAACTTAATGTGATGCAGCTATTTTCATGCGAAAACAACAGATTTTGCGTTATGATTCCAATTCATTTATGCAACTACTTGGAGTGGAAAATATTCACATTATTTTGCCCATAAATATCTTCCTGCTTATATTAGTCAATGGAAATAGCAGATATAACAATGAATGTACAGACCATTACCAAATCTCAGGGTTCATCTACTACTAATGAAAGGGAACGGATTTCTCTGTTTTCAGCCATTTTTGAATTAATATATATTTCCTAAAAGAAAAGAAATACCTAAAAGAAAAGAAATTCCTAAAAGAAAAGAAATGAAAATGATTTCATTCAACTCATCTAAGCAATAATTAAACTTTGTGCTTTTCAGTAGGACTTATATGAGACAAAGTAAAAAATTGAAATTATTTCATAATTACTCTCTATTTTTATACCCTTGTTTCTGATATTACTGTACTATACATACTATTAAATTGCCAAAAGAATACAGTTGTAATGAAATATCAACATATTCTTTCTACATATTTTAAATATTAAATTTAGTGTGTTATTAAATATCTGTATCATTGCATATGAAAAACCCCATTTCCTTTTCCATGAATAAGCACAATATAAGTTGGCTTAAAGCTCATTTTATTATTTTAATTAAACGGTAAAAACATATGTAATCCATTTTTACATTTGGAACTCTAGCCCCTTGTCAGAAACAACAAAGAAATAAAGCAAAATTATCAATTTAAAATATTATTAAAATTACTAATTTAGAATATTGTTAAATAAAGCATATATACTTATTCATTCAAATTTTTATAAAAAACCAAATATGACTAATGAGAAAACAAATAACAATAATAACAGTCACTAAAAAGGAACAGGAAACTTAAAATTTAAATGTAAAGTCAAGAGTCAAATATAAAATTTCTTTAAAGTAGGGAATTTTTTTAAAAGCAGAGGAAAAAATAAAAGTTATTTTAGTACTAAAATAACACACAAGTCATCTCTTGGGTGTTTACAAGAATTTGAATAGTATCAGCAGAAAAACAGCTACTATTATTTGAAACTAGTTGCTATCAACTGTAATACTGCCACTTACTCCTCACAGCAATTCTAATATTGTATCTCCAGTTATCTGAGTCTTGGAGACGTTAAGTGAAACAAACAAATTTGTACAATGTAACGCTACAATCTGAGTCTGAACTTAAATTTCACATGCAATTGATATTTAGAATGTGGTTTTGCAACATTACAATTGTTTGAAAAAAATGTTTTTGAAGACCTTATATTAGTCACTTTGTACCACTAGGGTGAGGTACCTGACCCCATACAGTTTAAGCGAGGGGTTATTTGGCACATAGTTTCCAGGAGGTTCAGTCCATAGTTGGTTACCTCCAAGGCAGAAACACAGTATAAAGCAGCATGACATTCATTGGGCTCATGGCAGCTGGGAAGCAGAGACAGAAGGAGCAACAGGAAACAAGAACACAGAAGGCTTGATGAGTCCTTTCAGATATAAACCATAATATATGTTCAGTTCATTTTCACATACTTCTATGTATTTACATACAAATATTTACAGTCATTAAAATTACATAAAGTGATATCATGTATGTGAAGCTCCTACTCCACAATTGCTTAAGCAGGGCAACAATTCAATGCATGGTTGTTTACCTCCATTAGTCACAAGGAAAATTCTCCTGCCACTATTTCCACTTTTCATAGTCTTTAAAAATGGCCCTCTGCTTAGTAGTTTTATAATATTTTAATGAAACTGAACTTTTTGATCATTTAAGATATTTTTCCTTCATTATTAAATCTTTGTTGGCAAATATTACCTAATGTGTGAATATATTCAAATTAGCTTTGGTCAATAAATGAAAAGTATAAGAGAGCTATCTCAGGATACTAGGAAGAAAATATAGCTGGTCTTGAGACTGAAATCAGGAAGTCAAGTAGTAGGAACTCAGGCCATATATTATTGTTTTTATCTCTTTTTTATTTTAAAGAGAGTAGTACATGAGACACAAACAAAAAATAGAACACTTTTTTTTTAGGCCATATATTAATATACAGTTATACAAATATTTATCTCTACATTTCACTGAATGAATACTTGTGTTGACTCTTTCTTTGGAACAGATGGATTGATCTATTTCTAAAGGAATGGCAAAATGGCTTTGCTCCTCTAATTCTGACTTTAAATACTTTCTCTGTACAAGTACCCAACATAGACTGACTTGAATCTCTTAAGTCAAAATTTCGGATTGATATCATTTGGTGCCTCTGGATAAAAAGATCAAACTGGACTTTGTATGTGTGAAAGCTAAGGTACTATAGTTTTTCCTATCCTTTAAGTGATCAGTCATAAAATTGTGTATTTTAGGATTACTATTGCATTTATTAAAATATAGCAGAGAAATGATTAGCAGAATAAATATTATAAATTTCAATCCACTATATTATGCTTGATATGATATCGTTATTAGCTTAAATCATCTATCTTAAGATTTTATAATTTTGTACCTTTAACATGAAGTCTACCTGAAATTTATTTTCATGGAAGAAATTATGTAAAAATTTAAATTATCTAATGAATGAACTGAGAGTTATATGATAAAAATAGTGTTCATAATAATAAAAACAAAATGACAATGACATTAACATTTATATATTCCTTCCTAGAACCAGTCACTCTTATAAATATGTTATGTGTGTTTTTAATTATAATTTTCATAATTAACACTCAATAAACCATGAATATTCAGTTTAATGTATGATTATACAAAAATTTTATCTACATTTTATTTTGCTACATTTAAACACAGATAATAGTTTTAAACATCTGTCATATTTAAAGCTTGTGTCTTCTATCATTTATTCTGCTTTTGGCACTACATAAGTGAACTGTCATTTATGAATCATAAAGTCTTTGGTTCAAACTTTCTTGTTGAACAATGAATTTGGGAACATACTTTTTATATAACACTACAGAAAGAATAAACTAGAAATAGTTGGTTAGCAGAATAATGTGCATCAAGAACAACTATAAGTATTGATCATCTGGTGGAAATCAAAGAAATATATAAAACCCTTTGCCTACACATATTTTATTTTACATTCTTTAATAAGGAAAATGTATCTAAAACGTTGCATTTTGGTTTTAAGATAGAGGCAAAAACAAATCATCTTCCCTAGGAACATGAATTAATACCAAAATAAAAATAATTCTTAAGATTTTAAAAATTGATCAGTCTAATGAAAATAAACATTAATTCAACCGTCCAGAATCATTGAATGGTTGAACATCTAGCAATGCTTTAGGAAAAAGAGAGCAAACTTGAAAAGCAGGAATGCTAGTAGTCATGTCATAAGACACTGTAAAACAACGATATGTCTCTGTGGACATAGAACATTAAATCTAAGAATTAAGTTATGAGATAGCTAGAAGAGTAGCTGGTTTCCATGAATACTGAAAATTTGTAAATATTGTTTCCCAGACTATCAAAACTAGGTCAGCTCTCAGTGAATCAGAAATAATACAAGGATTAGGTAAATTTGTTACATGGATATATTATAAAATGAAAATACAGAAATAATATTATCTGCTAATGATCTATTCTGATTTATTCTCTCATCCCTCTTACATGAGGATCTCCTTGGTACAGAAGTGTCCAAAGATTAACAACATAAATACTATGCAAAGAAGCTTGTACTCATTGACACCTAATCTGCTGGGTTGTAAAGGTCTTTTATCTTTCAAATTAAGTTTCTTGGTACATATTAGGTATACATAATGATCACATTCATCATAGGGAATTTGTACCTGTACATAATTTGAATTGATTTTTCCCATTCTCCTATTCACCTTTCAACCCCCTCCTCCCCTCCTTATTTACAAAAGCTTTGTTTCCCATTTTTCCTTCTTTTCTCATTATTTTTCCACAGTTTCCCTTCCCATTTGAACATTTCCTTCCTACTTCATAATATCTCTTATGCATTTTAGTCCTTATATATACTTTGCTTCTCACACTGGAGAAACAATATGGTATTTACATATGGTACGATTTATTTCACTTAAAAGTATGATCTCTTACTCTTATTTTTGGCAGATTAGCAGTACATTGTATAAAAACATCATATCTTCTTTATCCATTTCTCAGTTGATAGGCATTTGGGCTGATCCCAAGATTTAACTATTAGAAAATGCGCTGCTGTAAACATGGGTGTTTATATATCCCTGTGGTATGATGCTTTTAATTCTTTTGGAAAAATACCAAGAAGGAGAATAACTGGGTCAAATGGGACCTCCAATACTAGATTTTTGAGGATACATCACACTGATTTCCACAGTGATTGCACAACTCTGCTCTCCCACTAAGAGTGAAGAAGTGTTCCTTTTACCTCACAGCCCCACTGGTATTTCTCATTAGTTGATTTCTTGATTTTAGCCATTTTTTGCTGGCATGAGATGGAATCTCAGTGTTGTTTTAATTAGAATTTCTCAAATGAATAATAATGTTGAACATTTTTTCATAGGAATCAATCTAAAGGATCAAATAGAAGACCTTAACACTGAAAACTACAGTACTCTGAAAAAGGAGATCAAAGAAGATATGAAAAAATGGAAAGGAAAATGGTAGGAAGACCCAACATAGTGAAAATGGCCAGATTTCCAAAATTATTATACAGATTTAATGGAATCCCAATCAAAATTTCAACAGTATACTTCATGGAATTAGAGAAAACAATCCTAAAATTCATTTGGAATCCAAAGAGACATAAAATAGCAAAGACAATTCTGTGGAACAAAAGCAAGGAGGAGGTATCATAATCCCTGGGTTGAAATTATACTACAAAGCTACTATGACAAAATAGCATGGTACTGGCAAAAAAGAACTGGCCAGAGGATTAATAGGACAGATTAGAAGATGCACAAAATCTCCAGACATACTCAGCCACTTTATCTTTAACAAAACTTCCGAGAACTGTCACTGGGAGAAAGATAGCCTCTTTAAGAAACGGTGCTGAAAAAACTGGCTTTCCACATGTCAAAGATTAAAACTAGATCCATGACTTTAACCATGCACTAAGCTAATTTTTTCTACATTAATTTTTTCTAATTAATTTTGCATCATTAGAATAATATTTATTTTAGGGACAAGTACTAATGGACATGAAAGTTATATTTCATCAAAACGTTTCATATCTAAGGTTGTCACATAGGTTTGATGGCAAGAAACATTTGAAACGTGTACTTCAGGGTCGGGAAATCTAAGCTATTGGTGGAGAACAGAGTACAGTCATTTTGTAATGTTACATGAGAAGTAACACGAGTGAAAAAACTGCGGATCAAGGAAAGCTGACTGATTTCGAAAAACGGGTTGGTGGAAGGTGGCTACACAGGTTAAAAATTAGTCTTCTCATCAGGTTTCAACTTCTCAAGATATGTCAGATGTCCAAATCCGCTGCTCTGTGGGTTTGTACAGTAAAGTTCTCTATAATTTCTTTCTGAGGTACCTACAAATATTTACCTAAAGATATATTAGCTTAAGCTCCATAAACATCAGAAACTCAGACCCAAATTTTGTCACTATTTGCACTATTATTTTACGCAGTTTGCCCTCTTTAAAAGGTGAGAGTCTAGAAGAAATAGGAAAGCAATTATTGAAATTATGGCAACATATTTGCAAAATATATTTTGGTCCAATTATGAAAGAATTGTTAAAACCCAAATCATTTTCTTTAAAACTAGAGGAAGATGAATGCTTGCTTCAAGGATTACTGATAATTAGGGACTGTAAGGAGTCCCTGATTCTTTATGGTCATTTAGCATTTTTTTGTTTGGGTGTGTGTGTGTGTGTGTGTGTGTGTACTGCATCATGCTCTTTTACCTTTGTGTTTTTATATTTTAAAAAGAAAAAACACAAAGGCAAAAACAAAACAACAAACAATAATAAAAATAATACAGAATTTCAAAACAAGGTGATAGCAAATTAACAATTGTTGTTATAATACATATGGTTATTTTCAAAGGAGTTGCTCAGATCACCAGACATAGGCATGCAAGATCATTCAAACAATTAAGCATTAACTGTTCCTTTCAACAAACTAGTAGAAATCAGTGGTACAATTACCTAGCTAACTTGTTAGCTTTACGTTTTTAACCATCAGACAATATTTTATAAGGAAATATACCAGACTGAAGAACTCTAGCATTTCTAACATTATTGAATACGCTCTCTAAAGCTGCATAATATTTTATAAGGAAGGACATCTACCAGTTCAAACCACTGAAACTTGGTATTTAACTTATGATAACTTATGATAGCTTCTCTTGGCTGAATGATTTGTATAATTTCCATCCTCAGCCTAATTTAGAGCCTTATACATGATAAAATAAAATGCCATGTGAGATGTAACTAACCTATAATAAGTCATGAACAAAATACTGTGGCGAGGTATCAGGTGAGTACTTTATTTTATTTTTTGGTACCAGGAATCAAACTCAGGACCTTGTGGATGCTAGGGAGGTGCTTATGCCACTGAGCTATAACCCGGGCCCTCAGGTGAATACTGAATAAATGACTCTTAGTATTCTTATCAGGGTGCATTCTACGAGAAAAATAATTAAAATTTAGCCTCTGATCCTTTTCAAAAGTTAAATTTATAGCTTTCAAAAGTTTTCAGATAGGCTAATTTTTTTCTATTTTCTCGTTTTGTATAGAATATAAAAATAAAAGTTGCCATAGTTATTACATTGGAGTTTCATAGTGTCCAATAGTAAGAGTTTTAAAGCATATAAAGAAAGAGCACATGGATAAAATTTAAGGAAATAATTCAATTCATCTATGAAAAAATGTTAACTAAAATATATATGGACATTAGGAATGGTTTTTGTTGATTAGACTAAAAAGTAACAGTATGACTGTTCAAAGAAAGATTAAGAGTGACACAATACTTTTGCAAATCTCATGATATATCTAGAATAGAATCCTAGTGATAATTTCAACAGGAATCATCTCTAAAATATTCCTCTTGATCTTCTTGGAATCTTCACTTAAACATGCCATTAATAAGAATGGTCTTACCTTTCAGAGTATCTCATTTTTGTCTCAGACTAGCTTTGTATTTTAGAAAACATATCCTTGAATTTAGTTGTTAATTATGGCTATGATTCCTCTCAAATTCTGGTTTAGTCTCTTTTTTTTTTTTTGCCAAGAGCACCAATATTAATTCTGCTTTAATTGGATGTGAAATCAGACAAAAATGGAAAGATGGAATGTAATTTCAATCCCTGGCTCCAAGTTCGTATCTAAAAAGATAATGATAATGTTTAATCAATTATCAATTACATATATTTAAGTTCTAAAAATTATATACCTATACCCATATCTGATATATTAGAAAGTTTTTCATCTATGGAGGATCTGCAGAATCTTATGTGACCTTAGCTTGTTTATATTCTAGGACCATGAAGATGTCCTAGACATTGTACTGCACTGAAGAAGAGCAACATGCCATTTACTTGAAAATCTTCCTTTTATGGGAGGTGGGTGTCAGGTTTAATGGTGAACACATGAATCACCTGAGGAGACTCTAATTAAAACATCTACTCTCTGTAGCTGTGTTCTTGTGTGTTATTTCCTAACTTACATCCATCTGCAGGTAGCTCTCTATGGCTTACATTTTGACAAAATATAGGAGCAGTTTTAGATGAACACATTCCCTTTAAATGGATTACTTTTGAATTTTATCTATTCTGCCAAGTATATATATTTATGCCATTTACAATATAGTCCTAATTTATGATTCCTTCTTCCTATAAATACTTCATATTTCTTTTATAACTCAACAGAATATCTTAACTTCCCTTTTAAAACAGCTTTATTGGAGTATAATTGATAGTTTTAAACTGCATGTACTCAATGTATATTATGAGTTTGGTACATAAATGCACCTGGAAACCATGCTATAATGTACATGCTTTACCTCCAAAATTTCCCTGTATCCTTTTTGGTGGTTTCGTTTTGTGATAAGTACACTTAACATTAGACTCATCCTGTTAATAGAGTTGTAAGTGTCTAACACTTGTAGAATATTAACTATAAGCACTAGGCAGTGCAATCAATGTCTAATTCATTTTATTTTTTACTTTTTTTATTTTAAAGAGAGTAGAAAATGAGAAACAAAGAAATAGAACAGTAGCAGCATACCCGTATCACAAACATAAACAAATCAAAGCAAGAACATTCAGAGTGATACAGAGTCTCAAGAGAAAATAATACAAATCAACAGTGGGTGTTACATTGCATATTCTTATCCTCAACTACATTGCTCAGATTACCTGATGTAAGAATGAAAGATTGCTCAACCCATTATAGGGAATAAGAAAATAATTCTTTGATAAACCAGTAGAGCTAATTCATTTTACATCAGTGTGATTTTACACCAATCAGATTGCAACCACCAGTAGTGGCATATCCAAGAAAGCATTGCCCTAGATCAAAGTCAGGAAGCTCCCCCCATTTTCTTCTGAATTTTATAGTTTTAGATCTTATGTTTAGTGTGGGCTTGGAATGGGTAGGGTCAGATTTAAATGAGGATGGACAATGTGGAAACAATTCCAGATTCATAGTTTGGGGTGGAAAGCTTTAAGGAAAGAAAGACAAGTTGAAGTACCTTCACTGGTCAGGTTTATCATCTTAATTTGGCAGTTAAATTATGTAGGTGACTAGGCTTCCAATAAATGCCACAGCAATGCTCCTTTCTATTTCAATTATTGTATGTTAATAGGAATTCATTCTTTGCTTAGATATGGTTTAATACTGCAAATAAAACAAGATCAATACAGAAGGTAAAAGCCACTCCACACTCACTGATTATTTCTCTCTTGGTTGGATTGAAGAAATATTTTTTTTTATGGAACTAAGTTGAATTGCTTCTATTCTGAAGGCAAGATTTACACATATCTTAATAATTAGCACATGTAAGTGTAATCTGAAAAAATTGAAGTTCTGTATTTTATAGTTGTGAAGAAACATTTCAATATAGTTTACTAAGTGGAACATGTGCCCAGATTCTGGAGCTGCTACTTCCTGTATATTTTTTCAGAGTGTCTTAGACTTCCAAATCTTGTGTTTTATATTTTTTCTTATTTACTTGGTTAAACCTAATAATATGCTGGAAAAATTTAGATGTTCAATAAACCTTTCTTTCCCTCTCCCCTTATCTTCTATTATTAACCCAGAAAAGCCCTTTAAGCTGCTAATTGCCACCTAAAATACATCCCATAGGACATAGCATAGAAATCAGAACACTGACATAAAAATAAGAAATTTAATTTTTGCAACTAAATTAAAAATTTAAAGTTGCCAAAATGTTCTGAAGAAAGAGTAGAGGAAGCATTAAAGAGACAAAAATATTGGGGCTGGGGATTTAGCTCAGCGGCACAGTGCCTACCTGGCAAGCACGAGGTCGTGAGTTCGATTCCCGGTACCAAAAAAAAAAATCAAAAAAACAAAAAACCAAAAATATTTTAAAAATTTAAAAGCTGCTGGTGTCATTTTCTTGTAATTAAGCATGGCTAGTAAAACTGAGACATATGAAAGCATGATTGATCTCTGTTAAAGAAATGGCGTACAGTATTCCTCCATGAAATATATCTCTATTTTCAGCAAATGTAATAATTAGCCAAAGTCTCAAGCAGTAGTTCTATGAGAGTGACAATGAAGGACAATCTACTGAAGTGCTCCATGGCAAATAAATGACAAGCCAAGAGAAAGGTGCAGTTGATCAGTTGGATGAATTCACCAGAGTAGGAACTCAGCTCAAACTTGTGAAATAACGTTGACTATTTATTGGAGAAAATGTTATAATAATGAACTACCAGTAAAAGTAAAAGCAAACACTTAGTATGAAATAAGTAACAAATACCGTTTTTGCAGAATATAAAAAACACTCCGGACTGCTACTATCCATATGCAGGTAAACCTGGTGCACAGAAAAGTGATGTGACCCCTACTGCACAAATTATGAGTGACACACTGGGTGTTTGAGTTATGCCTCTGCATGTGCAGAGCCTAGGCCTTTAATCCCCTCTCTGCATGATCTTTCTGCACTGATTCTTATTTTCCTAAAACAAGTAAATGTAATTTCAATTTTAGGTTGATAATATCTAAATTTCACTAACTGGGATCACTTTCACTCTTTGTCAAAATTGGGAAAACGTACAAAAATATAAAACCATAGCAACAAATTTTTCACAATATATATAAAGAGTGCTGGGAATTTAGCTTAGTGGCAAAGCGCCTGCCTGGCAAGTGCAAGGTCGTGAGTTCGGTTCCCGGTACCGGAGAAAAACCAAAAAAAAAAAACCAAAAAAAAAAAAAACAATATATATAAGGAGTTGTGCTTAATATTTCTTTTCCTCTTCTCTCAAATGCTTGGGACAACATAATACTTTTTCTTGTCCCAGAAACTATATTTATTTTATTTTTCTTTCAGTCTGAGGATTTTCTTTTCTTTTGAGATGATAGGCAATGGTATTATTTATATAGATTTATCAATATATTTTCTTTTTTGTTGTTGTTGGTTTTTTTTCCAGTACCACGAATTGAACTCACAGCCTTGCACTTGCCAGGCAGACGCTGTGCCGCTGAGCTAAGTCCCGAGCCCCTGTATTTTCAATTATGTAATTGTTTTAGTTTATAAAGCAGCTTAGATCCCCCACTATTTTTCATGATATGTTTTCAAAAAAGGATAGATATCTAGATTAGCCGTTGCAATTACCATTCCATTATTGATCCTGCTACTGAGGATTGGCAAGCTACTTCCATAACACACCTTTTGATAGGTGGTGTTTATTTGATAAATGGCACCAGGCAGGCATCAAAAGCATCAAAGGCAGAAACAGCAAACATGTCTGGATGATACGTCACTCTTGAATTTAAGCAGGGTGTAGTGACTGAGGAATTGCAGTAACAAAAGGCTGTCAATTTGGGGAGTCTAGAGGAGGGCATGGAGATTATGTGAGAGCTACACGCCCCTTAGGTGGGGGTAGTCTGTTTACAATGTAAGGCAGGGAAAGAGGCTGCTTGCCGCCATTCCTCCGGTTTGTTCTGGCTGTTTGCTGTTCGGCTGCCATTTCCCCCTTTGCTCTTGTTGCTTGTTATCTTCTGCCTCGGAGCCAGCCAAGTATGGACTGAAACCTCCACAAACTGTAAGTTAAATAAACCTTTCCTTCCTTCATTTTGGGCGCTGGGTATTTTGTCTCAGCAACGAGAGAAAAGTAACCAAGACACACACCTTTTGATAGGTGGTGTTTGATAGATGGCACCAGACAGTCATCAAAAGCATCAAAGGGAGAAACAGCAAACATGTCTGGATGATGCGTCACTCTTGAATTTGAGCAGGGTGTAGTGATTGAGGAATTGAAGTAACAAAAGGCTGTTGTCACTGTTAAATGGATTGGTCAGACATTTATCACATTTACCTTGAAGCTAATGAGTTGGTTACTATTTCTAGACGCAACAGGTAACACCAAGGTCACACAAGATGGGAGAGACTCAAGGAAATGCTTAGGAATAAATTATTTGTGTGTCTTTGACTAAAAATAAAAATGTAGATTTTAACATTGTTTTATGCTGAAAACAGTTACAATTTATGCGAAATCAGTCTTGTCACAACTGTATTTTTCTGTTTAAATTCTCTTAATCTCTAGTCCTGGTCCATCCTTAAAATACAGTTCACCACTTTGTCATTTCTTTGGCTTGTTCTAACTACATGAACAATAAACTACTTTCACTTGGCTTCATGTTTTCATTTAATAATTGCTGTTAATTATTTTTTTTCTCCCTCCTACTTGAAATTCCAAATGTTTGAGAAAATACTTTCTGGAGCTTCCTCCTCTAAGCTATCAAGTCAGTGATGGCAGGCTCTGCCTCCTTTTAGAGAGGATCCTGAGAAAACTAAGTCTTTAGTTAAAGAGCATAGCGGCTAGATCTCATGCAAACGTCCTGGAAACTGGTGTAGTAGCTTTAAACAATAGTAGTAACTTGGACTCTTGCAAGATACTGACATTTAATTGAAATAGTATAATTGCAGAAGGTGCTAAAGCAGAATGAGAAGTTGATACATTGTGGGTTGAAAATTTCATTTAGCCGCAAAGATGTTTTTCAGGGATGCCACAGAACAATTGTTTCTGAGCTTCCAACTTTTACTCGTTAATGGCCCTAGGTACATAGAACTAGATAGGTTGTTGTAAATTCTATTGGGATTAGGCATCAGTTGGAAGTAGGAAATGTCCATTTTAGATACATCTGCTTTTTCCAGACATAAAATTCATTGTCATATATTGTCTCAAATTGATGCCAGGTATGAATTACAGCTGAAATTCAAACATGAGTTTGCATACAAAAGGGTAGATTTTATTAAAATGTAAGTAAAAATAAATTGTGCTCTAACTTATAAAGAAAATTTGACAATTTTTAAAAATCAAATTGGTGACAATACTCATGATGCCATTCCAAACCCAAAGGACAAGAAAGCAATTTAAAGAGCCTGAGATGGAAGAATTGCCTCTGGAAATCAGATTTGCAAGAAAATCAAAATAGCACTACAG